CCCTCTGGACTTAATGATTTATGACCGTTAAATGAAATTTCCCGTAGACATGCTGATATGTTTTAATTATATTCATTATGGACAAAATCCATCTTCATGCAAAAAATTTCCATGTCAGCTTTTTCTTCCGTTGGCTGCATTAGCGCCAGAAAAGATGTTATACCATTCTCTTGAACCATATTTTAATTTGTTTACTTTTGCATGACTTGAAAAGGCTGAACAGGACTTTATTACACGTGATTTACCATGTGAAAATGAGTGTACGTTTTTAGTAGACGAAATTAAACTACTCCTCAAGTTGTCACTTAAATCGGAGGTTCATATCTTTAGGCTTGCTCAAGCTATAATGTAATTCTAATATGTTTCCGCCTAACTGAACCATGCAGTCATGTTGATTTGGTTCCGTTTCGTATTCTACTCACTCGCAAATTTGATTGGTAGACTTGTAAGTCAATGGAGGGTATGTTTACAAGTGATTTTTTTCCTCAAGGAGGGATTATGTGGTGACTGCATATTTAGTAGTACATGCATGTGGCAGGAAGATTAGTGTCACCGTTACTGACATACAATCATTCAGTCAAACTAAATATGCTGTCTTAACGTCAGAATCAAACCCTATCCTAATATGGAATAAAAACTAAACTCAGGCTTCACTCGCTCTCTCTCTGTCTCTCACATTTTTATATTTTCTGTGCAAGGTGATTTTGAAGGGGAGCAGCCTGAAATATCGGATGAAGGAATAAGAAAAGTTAAAAAAGGTAAAAAGAAGGTAAAAGGTGTTTCAAGAGGGAAGAAGCTTCAAAAAGAGAAGGGTTTGAGTTACATGGAAGAAGATTCTGATGAAGAGAAGCATGAATATGACGAAACTTTCTGAAGATAGAGAGACTATCCCCCAAGGTGTTCAAAATGCCGAACAGAGGAGTTCAGAAGGGAGAGAAGTGGATGAATCAAGTGGATCCATGAGAGAGAAGGCAAATGGAGAAGCAGGATCCGATTCTGAGGGGAATCACGGGAACAATTATTTGGAGAGCAGTCCCCAAGAAATGGACCAAGCACATGAAGAGTCATCAAGCCTTGATGATGTTGGGAATGCTGAGATTTCCGAAGATGAACCTCTTGTAAGGATCTTGACCTTTCGCACTTTTTTTAACCCTTTCTGACTGAATTATCATTTTGGTTCTTCAGAGATGCACTTTCTCCAGGTGGTCCTCCAAATTCAGTCATGTTGTCCTAGTCTTCCAAAGAGTATTTTATTTCTAGTGTGGTCCATCTTAAACCCCTTAATATGTCATTAGCACATCTGACATGCCATAACGTGAAACTAACGTGTCAGACAATGGCTAACCGGTACTTAAACATGCGATGGTATATGCTTGAAGTAGCAGCACCATATTGTTCGGTGTTTTATCATTCATTGCAGTTTTCGCAAGAAATAGATATTTAACAATTACAAAGGTTTCATGGTAAGCCATGTCTCCGTTTTATGTTGATTACTTGTCAAGGGGTTTATTATGAGAATGCTATTGATGAAATACTCCTTGGAGCCGCGGAATGAGACGTTCAAACTTCAGTTGATTAGGTGCATCTTTTGAGGACCAAAATATTAATTTAGTTATCAATACTGATGCAAAATTTATTGCTCATAACTTTGACTACTGCAGAGTAAATGGAAGCGTCCTTCCGGGAGAAAGGTTCAGGCCAAAAGCGGTGAGGAGTTTAGCTGCAACATTTTAGTCTTTTCAATACAAATATAGATGGGAACTTGAATTAAGATGACTACCACATAACTTTAACACACTTGTAGTCACCCTGTAGAATGTAAAATAACAACCATTCCCACGTCTAGAGTGAAAAATGATAGAGCATTTAGGTTTTAGGGTTATGTCCATCTTATATTTGTTAATAGGTTTAGCTTATGATTCATGAGGGTGTGGTTCATCCGTCCAATTTAGTTTATATGATAAGTGGGGCGTTGTGTACAGGTAGCTATACCTATATACGTGGGAATAATTGTACTTAGCATATTAATACTTTCTTAACATCCATGATATTGATGATTTATGCATAAATTTTTAATCTTGTTTGCTGCTATGAATCGGTGTTTTTTGTTGGGTTTGGTGTATCTCTCGGGCATCCTTTGGATCCTTGTATGCTGTGTGATTTTCTTACGACCTTAATGGGGTTGCTATGGAAAGTTTTTTTTTTTTTTTATTTACTTTTTCGGGAGAAATGTTGTTTAATTTTTAATTTTCTTTAATTTTAAATTAAATAAGCCAAACCCCTCTTGGAGCAGGAGACAATCTTGGTGGGGAAGGGATGAGTTTGAGCTTTTTGATGCGTTTGGTATGAAGGATTTGAAAGGGAGGAAAGGAAGGAGGAGGGATTTTGATTATTTTTTCTTGTTTGGCAAGATGAAAATTTTACAAAGGGAGGAAATTTTTTTTTAACATTTTCCCTCCTCTTCTCTCAAGCCTCTCCGCCAAAATTGGAGGAATTTGGAAGGAAAAGATATTTTGGTTTGTATTGACTAATATGTCTATATTATTTTCTAATAATCTCATGTTACCTTTTAGCACCGAATTGTATGTGATTTGACATACTTGTGGACTCAATCATGCCTCTTTTTCTTGTTTATATACTATCAAATATAAATATAAAAAAAAGTTGGTATCAATTATATTTTAATTTTCAAATGCAAATCAAGCACACAAAAAAAAAAACATACAAATAAGTCATTTATGTTGTCTTTTAAAAAAGTTAATTAGCTACTCGTACTACTAGTATATCAAATAAATATAATTAGTTTACTATTATGTATGAATAAAATAATTGATATATATATATTAATTATTTATTTATTTAATTTTGCTAATTATAAAAAGTTGATTTTATATATTAAATGTTATTTATAATTATATTTTATTAATTACTTTATAAAGTTCGTAAAAATCAACTTAAAAAAATAATATAAAGATAAAGTTGTCCATATAAAAATATTTTGCTTCTCGTCCCTTTCTAAACCAAATAAGATAACATTAAAATTTCTCACCTCTCCTTCCTTTCTATTAATCCAAACAAGATAATATTAAAATATTTTATATTTTTTTAATCTCTTTTTTTTTTTATTAAAATTTCTCTCCTCCTGTCTTTTTTAGCCAAACACACCCATTTGTGTTTTTTGGGGAAGGGGGTAGGAAAGTAGGCCCATTCTAGAGCTCCAACTGATAAGACGACAGGAGGCGAACACGTTGCGTGCCTAACTGCCCGTTCAAAGAAATGGAAATAGAAATAAAGAATAAATTATTTTTACAATATGAAATTTTTCTTTTTTTCAACTATATTATTAAATTAATTTTAAAATATAAAAATATCGAAATGCCCAAGGAAAAAAAACAAAAATCAACAGGGCTTTATATGCCTACCATTTTACCTTGGTACTTGATAAAGAATTAAATAGCAAGCAATATTAGACTTGTTCATGAGAAGGGCACGGGAATATGTTTTCTTCCCTCTTGGTTAAATCAATAGGAAATGATGGAGTCGGGGTACCGTTTCATGGTCTTCTTTTCCTTTACTTTTATGGATCCGGTACAGACGAAGAATGAAATATCTGTTAGTCTTCATAATAAACGTAATATAATTATTTCATTGTCAGAATTTAATTTTTATTTTCATTCTTATTCTCATTTAAATCAAATGGAGTTACATGCGCGCGCTTCCAGGGAGATTAAACAAAACGAGAATATGACATCAAAAGCGTTACTTCTTTTTGACCTTGAAACATCAAAAGTACAACTTCAAGATCAAGGATCTCTCTTCTTTTTTTAATTTATCGTTACAAGTTCAAGGATCCTCCTGATTTTGAACAAACAGAAAAATTATTAACAAAATTTTTAAAAAATCCAGTCACATGATTCGGATAACAGACAAGAATGAAGAGTGAGCCTCAGCAGGACCAAAAAAATCAATGATACAGATTTATAATGGAGAAACCACTCATACATATATAATGGGGCTAAGGCCACCACATCAGAATCACACAATGTTGACGTTAATCTTCACAACGTCAACTTAACTTGCAAGTGGAGTTCAATAAATGGCATGATAGGCACAACCAACCTAAGCAAGAATCCAAACTCTTGCATAGAACACCGAGAGTGGATAAATGGACGACCACCGCAAAATCTGAGACTAACATGTTTCCTGCTTCATATTCATTACTAAGATTATTGCCAAAAATATCTGACTGAATGAATATGAAACAGCAGTAAACTGAAAAAAAATACCATATTTATGAGAATCAGCTCTTACTTTACTCCTTTTCAGTCTTTGATGACATTGAGGTATCGCTAAAGGCTTTCCCAATATTTGGGAGCCGATTTCGGTATAGAATGTCTAACTCATCGAAGTATGGGCAAGCTTTACTGTTTAGCCGGCGCTTCTTCCCACTCTCCATTGTTCTCTTATAATACTTATTGATGTTTTCCCATTTCTCCTTGCACTTCTTTGCAGAACGATTGTAACCCATATTATGCATTGCTTTAGATATCTCCTCCCATAAAGATACTTTGGATCCCATCCCTTGAAATTTGTGTTCTGAAGAAGTTCTTAGAGTTATGAGTGCTTGTACTTCAGCTTCTGGCCATCTATTATTACTCTGATCATTCTTGAAATCCTTTTGGATGTTCGCTTCACCTTCATCCTCTTCTCTTGAGCTGGTTGCTGCCGGTTGGGGGATTTGAATTTCATGGCCCAGTAAATTCTGAATTAATGATATGAGAGCTAGGTTGTTAGATTTTTCTTGAGCTCTGGCCTCCTCATCCTTTTTACTCCTTTCCATCTCCTTTTGCTTCCAAGCTTCTTCTCTCATAGCTCTTTCCCTTTCTTTCTTTTCTATCATATCCAGCAGTTGCTTATGCATCTGCTCTTGCTTCTCCATAACCTTCATCGCCAAATTTTCTAGAAAAGCTTCAAACTTCATCATTGTCTTTTCTCTTTTCTTTCCACTCCCGGCTTCTTCCACACTTTCAGACGAATCACCATCATTGTCCCAAGATGAACTGCAACAAGGAATAGTTCAAAATAACAGTTCAGACTTCAGAGGCAATACCCACATAGCAATACAAGCATTATCACCCCATTTTTCAGGTTATCAGTAAGATTACAATATCCTCTTCCCCGAGCTTAGTTACAGAGCATTCATATGCTAAAATACCTTGTATTCGGTATGATTAATGATGACCCAATTATGATAGGTCATTATGCTAAACTTCCTAGTTGCCATTTGCATTTACCTCAACTGTAACGCAATAAGTTCCCTGTTTCTGTCACCTACAGTATGATTTCACATGAATGACTCAAGAACACACAAGGTAAGTTCAAACTTCTGTTCTTTTGCTCTTTTCCCCTCTTCTTTACTTGCAAATTATCGTATGACAATGGAAATGCACCATTCATACCGTAAATAATCCAGACTTTACATAATGAATTCTCCACTGTTTAAACCCTTTACAATGAAATCAGACTTTTTGTTTACAGGAAAGTTAAATTTCAATTTGCAGATGTAGAAGTAAGAATTGAACCCTAGACAATATACACAGGTCAATTTTACTGGTGAGAAGTGAGCTCCATAGTGGACATTACTTAGATGACACAAGACTGGTGAAAAAATTTTGGGTAAGAATAATAAGCAGCTAAGCACCAAGCTTTTTTTTTTTTTTTTTTAAAGATACTTTGTCGGGATGCTCTGCCCCACTGCAAAAGATAATAATAAGATAATAAAGCAAAAGTATAATTCGATGACAGAAAAAAGAAAAGGAAAAAGCTACGAAAAGTGTTTATATTAAAATCAGGAAAAAAAAAAGGGAAAACAATTTGCAAGAGGCATGTAAACGAACCCAATTATACGGCATAAAAAGATTCTAAAACCAGAAAATTCGAGGGATCGAATTCAGAGCTCACCCAGGTTCCTGCTTCGGTTCACAAGTATGACACGGCCGGAGCACTGCCGGATTCTCCGTCTGGAGGCAGTCATTTCCGACGACATCATCGGAAGCTTCTTTCCTCAGCTCCTCGCAAGACACAACTCGCTGATCCAGAAACTCAGGGTTCTGACTTGACTGATGACAAAGGTAACCCACATCGTCAGACGGTCCGGCGAGCCCTCCATTCTCAGGAATCTCAAGGTCCGGCGGGGAAGAAGACCGGTCGAGGCTCCGGATGGGGCGGAGCTTCTGTGGCGTGGGGTTGAGAAGCCGGCGGTGGTCGGCGACGTCGGGAGGGTGAAAACCCGGCGTGGGATGGGCGTAAAGGAGGTCAGAGGCGTCGGGAAAGGGGGCCACGTGGTAAGGGAAATCGTCGACGGTGAAGAGGTCGTCCATGAAGAGGGTCGTTAAAAACTTGCGGCGCGAGGGTTAGGGAGAAGGTGAAAATGAACATGTTGGCTAGTAAATGTGAGGGTAAAACTCTGGTAAAATAGAGGGCTGAAATTACCAATTTTGTAATTTGTTGGCCCCTATTTACGAGATTGTCCCTTCGTGAAATTATCTATGCGGGGCTCAGATTGTGACGCAAGAAAGCAAACTTTATCTCGAGCTCTAATTATAAAATTTTATTAATTATAAACGAGATTTTATAATTAAAATTTAAAATAACAGGTTTTATGTCGATTTTAACATTTGGATTACCATGAACTTGATGACGAGCACCAAATTTGGGCACAGCTTTTCCTTAATGTATTGCGTATTTTAGAATATATATGTGTATAATATATAATTTTTTTGAAAAAAAAAGAATAATTCATGTCGTTTTTTCTTCTACTAGGTCCTTATAATTTCCTCTATTAAATATTAATATTTTATTAATTTACAAGAGGTGGTATTAATAGTGCATAACATGATTCTCACTTAACAACACGCGTGTTAATTTTTTGACACCAATCTAAATAAAATCAAAATCAACCAGATTATTATTTTTTTCCAACCAAAATCAACCAGATTATAGATTATATATAAATGCAACGAAACGATCATGAGCATAATAATTTTTTATTATTATGATGATAGTAAATAAATTTCATTTTACTTATATTCTGTGGCAAATTGCTCATCACAACTACAATACTTTATCCATCTTCTTTCCCAGTGGTATCCCTAAATATAAAAAATAAATAATTTTTGTCTGAAATTTTTAAGCATATTTTTCTACTTTCACACTCATTAAATATATCATCTAATATCTCAGTGCAATAAATTTTCATTCATTATTTCTCATATTCTATCTATATAAATAAGGGTATAATTAAAAATATATATTACACATTTATGGTCTTTAATCAAATTTAACTAACAAACATTATAATTTTGATAATTATTTCTTATAATAAATGACGGAGTGAGAGAGTACTTAACAAATTATCAGCATAATAACAAATATTTGGAATTGAAAAACCATAACAACTTTTTTTTACTTGAGAAACCATAACAACTCAAAAAAAAAAAAATCGTTTAGCTTCATTTTTGTGCAGCTTAAACGTTGCACCTTGTTTTCACAAATACAAGTGACACGGTGACAGTGACAATGCATGACTCTGTGCTTAGTGGTAGGCCCATTTCTTTGACAAATGAACTTTAAATTTAAAGAGAAATCTAATTGATTTTATAAGTTTTAATTTAGAATTATCTCAATACTTAATTTTTTTAATTATTTTTCCCCAACTCTCTCTCATTATATGTTTTATACATTTTTTTTGCATTTATGATAAGAATATATTTTAAAACAAAAATAAAGTTCTTACCAATTTATTACTTTGAACTAATTTTAATCCATAAATTATAAATTAATTAGATGAAACCTGGGGGGGAAAAAAAAAAAAATGCCAAAATGACTACTGCCAGAGTGCCAGTCCCGCGGGAGCATGGTCACGTGTCCACTCTCTTACCTTTCCCTGCCAAGCCTTTTTGCTTTCAAACCTTTGAAGCTGATTCCGCTTTCATTTCAAGTTTCAACATCAGAGATTCAGAGTCCGTTTCTCAAGGGACGAACCTGTTTTTTTTTTTTTTTGACCAAAGGGACCAACCTGTTCAAATCAGCAAAGCCACAATAATGACTAGGAAGAAAACAATGCGTCACTATTCCATTGTGGGATTTAGTTCACGCCCAATAATGACAAAAGCTTGCAAAAAATCGCAGCCCAAGTGGGCATTCTCCCTTCTCCACGACACAAGTATGAAGTCCAACTTTTTGTGCTAGTTTACTGTGTTTGATGTTTTATGTCCCCGAGGATAATAATAAGAGTAGCTGCTTCGCCAGGTGGTGAACCCCGAACACCGTCTAAACTAAGCCTGGATATCTTCGTTCATGATTCTCGTGTCCTGATAGTTTGGTGAGAACAATTTTGGCTTCATGTCTATGTCGATGTCCATTTTGTCTGGCTGGATATGATCAAGTTTCGAATTTTCATAAGCGTTTTGCGCTTTGGTTATTAAGGGATCAGTTAGCTTTCCCAGTTCATGACAGCCATTTTTAGTTCTTTTTGCTCTCGCATGCAATAAATTTGCATCTGAGAAGTCAGAACATTAACATCAACTGACGATAACTACAGTGGTGTTATGGTTGAAATGAAGCTCTAAGAATCGGCACGAAGGTTGCAGCATCCATTGGCGCGTCCATTTCAACCATAACACCATTGTAGTCATCATCAGCTTGTCACTTATTAATCATATCATACAAACCTGTATCACACGAGTTTTTGTGGCTTTCTCAATTTGCAGATTGACACAGAATTTTTGGAAGTGTTGGCCTTCAGGTAGATACAAATTTTGCTGGGTTTTTTTCTTTTCTTTTTTGGATTGGAATCTGCAAGTTTACGAAGTGCTAAACATTTCCTTCTTCGTTCATCAGCAAAACTCCTAATTCGGACTTAATGACGAAGTCAGGGTTATTCATCTTGTGCATGCTGCGCCCCCTTTCTTTTGACGTCCAAGTGCAAGAACAGGAGATAGGAGCTGCCCAGGTGCATAATTTTCTGGCAACCTATATTCTTCATGTCAAAAGTAAATGCTTATAGCACTTTTTAATAGGGATAGAGAAGAAAAGGAAACAAGCGATGAGTTTAAAAATGAAATGTTTATCCTGTCACACTAAATCACATTCTAGGTGGAGTTATGTTCTGCTTAAATTAATGTAAGTATTGGGGGGGGGGGACAGGATGATTATTACAGCCAAAGGTAGAATGATTGTTAGGTAGACTAGTGGATCACTGGAACTATGTCAAACGCATATTTCAGTAGGCTCTAGGAGTAATGAATAATGAAACTGTCTCACCCTCAAGTTTGCCTCAGTTATCAACATGGTCCTTGAAGTTTAATCTTTCATCAATCAAATCCCTATAATTTCATAACCATACACAGCCAGTCCTTATGGTTTGAAAATATATAGTCCCTTACACACATGTGGTATAACCTCGAAGGTGGCAACTTCTTCATGGATTGCAGAAAAAATTGCGGGTACGATGAGATCAAATAAGAATATGAAATTGTGCGTGAAACTTTAGGGATTTGATTAACAAGATTAAACTTGAAGGACCAAATCGATAGTATATCGTATTTATGCTGTCTTGTCTTGCTGTGTAGTGGATGCCTTTTAAGGAATATGCAGCTCAGCCATTCAATGAGAAGAACAAGTTTGTGAAGCAGATGGATGAAGTGTGCAGGGCAACGATGGGCGGCCATTATTCTGGGTTTGATGCAGTTCCTTCATCTTCATCCTTCCCTAACAGAAAGAGCTTTCATGTACTTGAATTCTGGGGATCTCATGCATAACAACGGTTCTCTCTAACCTGCTACTAATCTTTTTAAACTCAAAATTAAGTAATACTAATCATGGTAGAAAAGAATCTTAGTATAATCTTTGAGAATGTACCATGGTTATCAAAAGAAATTTAATTCGCCAGAAATGTTAACCATGATAGAAAAGATTTAAACTAATCATTCAAAATGTTTATCATGATTATAAAAGATTTACTGAACAAATTGTATAAAAACCATAGTAATATTTCACAATGACTAGGTCTTGAATTCTAAGGGCCTTAAGAGGTGTAATTCCCTTTAGACATTCACCAAGTTATGTATATAATTATGAGAGAGAGATGAATATTTAATTTTGACCATACAAGTATTTTTATATAGAGTATAACTTATAAAGAAGACCAATCATATTTCAATTATAATTATAAGATTTTGTTTATAAATTACAAACGATGTTTTATAATTAAAACTTAAAGTAACAGGTTTTATGTCTATCTTAACATTTGGATTACCATGAACTTGATGAGGAGAGCCAAATTTGGGCACAACTTTTACTTATGGCCTGTTTGGAACAACTTATAAATAGCTTTTCAATCATAATTTACGGAATACGAAATAAGCATTTCATAAAAGTTTTTATCTCGACTTACATAAACGTGTTTATAAGGGATTTTGACCGCTATTCCCAACAAGCCCTTAATGTATTGGGTATTTTAAAGTACCAGATTATAGATTATATATAAATGCAACGAAATGATCATGACCATAATAATTTTTCATTTTTATGATGGTAGTAAATAAATTTTATTCTACTTATATTGTGTGGCAACTTATTTGCCATTGCATCTACAATACTTTCTTTGTCTTCTTTCACAGTGGTATTGCTAAACATTGGAAATAAATTGTCTTTGAAATTTTTAGACATATCTTTCTACTTTCACACTCATTAAATGTATCATCTAATATCTCCTTGTAATAAATTTTTATTCATTATTTATCATATTCTTTATGTATAAATAATGGTATAATTAAAAATATATTACATATTTATTATTTTTAATCAAATTAAACTAACAAACATCGTAATTTTGATAATTATTTTTTATAATAAGCGATGGAGTCAGAGTGTACTTAACAAATTTTCAGCGTAAAAACAAATATTTGGAATTGAGAAACCATAACAACTGTTTTTTGACTTGAGAAACTATAACAACTAAAAAAAATTATGGTTTAGATTCATTTTTGTGGAACTTAAACGTTGCAGCTTGTTTTCAGAAAAAAAAAAGTGACACAGTGACGGTAACAATGCGAGACTGTGAGCTTTGTGGTAGGCCCATTTGTTTGACAAATGAACTTTAAATTTAAAGAGAAATCTTATGGATTTTATGAGTTTTAATTTAGATTTATCTTAATATTTAATTTTGTAATTTTTTTTTGCCACACTCTCTCTCTCTCTCTCTCTCTCCCCTTATATGTTTTATACATTCTTTTTCATCTTTTTTTTTTGCATTTATGATAAGGATATATTTAAAAACAAAAATATTGTTCTTTTTACCTAATTTTAATCCATAAATTATAAGTTGATCAGATGAAACTTGGAAAAAAAAAAAAAAGACCAGAGTGAGTACTGCCAGTCGCAAGGGAGCATCGTCACGTGTCCACTCTCTTATCCCTTCCTTGCCAAGTTGCCTTTTTGCTTTCAAAGTTCTCGGCTTTCAAACCTTGGAAGCTGATTCCATTTTCATTTCAACATCAGAGTCTGTTTCTTAAGTGACGAATCTGTTCAAATCAGCAAAGCCACAATAATGACTAGGAAGAAAACAATGCGTCACTATTCCATTGTGGGGTTTAGTTCACACCCAATAATGACAAAAGCTTGCAAAAAATCGCAGCCCAAGTGGGCATTCTCCCTTCTCCACGACACAAGTATGAAGTCCAACTTTTTGTGCTAGTTTACTGTGTTTGATGTTTTATGTCCCCGAGGATAATAATAAGAGTAGCTGCTACGCCAGGTGGTGAACCCCGAACACCGTCTAAACTAAGCCTGGATATCTTCGTTCATGATTCTCGTGTCCTGAATCCTGATAGTTTGGTGAGAACAATTTTGGCTTCATGTCTATGTCGATGTCCATTTTGTCTGGCTGGATATGATCAAGTTTCGAATTTTCATAAGCGTCTTGTGCTTTGGTTATTAAGGGATCAGTTAGCTTTCCCAGTTTATGACAGCCATTTTTCGTTCTTTTTGCTCTCGCATGCAATAAATTTTCATCGTTTTTTGGTTTCTCCCCTCCCTGAGGTGATATTAGGTTGGTCTGGACACAATTTTCACTTGATCTTTATAATGTCAAATTGAAATTCAGACAGTACTACGTACTTATTATGTCCGGTTATGGAAACAGCTCTGAAGTTTGTAAGCTTCTGATTGAACTCACTGATTCATGCATATTTAATGGTACTATGAATGTTCTGCTCTCCCTTCTTCTCTAATCATAGCAGACGAATCAGTTTTGAGGGGTGTTAGCCGTTGCTTCAACTGTGTTGTTTTCCTATTTGAAGGCAATGTTTAATACCATTGCTCTTCTTTGGCTAGGAATAGTCTCAATAAAATGAAATGGTCTTTGGTTTTTCGTCTAATGCTGTTTCCTTTCATGTTCCTGCACGGTCAAGATGAAAGTGGCAGCTCCTTTTCCCATTTAGGGTATGACAGACTCAACAAGTTCAACAGAAACTGTTCCACGAGCGGTTGCTGAGAATGGAGTCAGAGAAGTTAGACTATTAGCATCAACTGATGATGACTACAATGGTGTTATGGTTGAAATGGACGAGCCTATGGATCCCGCAATCTTCGTGCCGATTCTTAGAGCTTCAATTTCACATTGGAGACTGCTGGTAGCTTTTCATATTAGTTTTATACTGTTGTTCATTTTTCCCTCTTTAATTTCATTTGTTTGATGAATACTTGCTTGTGACACTAGAACCAGACATGAGGCTTTTTCTATAGCTAGATATGCATTATTCATGCTTTATGTTATGGCTGTGCTGTGAGAGAGCAAGGAAAGAAAGCATGCAAATTGGGTTCTACGAGATTGTGATGCATATTGTTTGGATATCTTCTTCCTCTTTCCTCTTCTCATGTTAGTTTCATGCAAAAGCAGATCAAATACAGGGGTTTTTTCTTGAGATATTACGTACTGTTTCTGCTTCATGTTATAGTTCAGGTCAACAAAAACCAGTACAGTGGTGTATTTTCTTCATCTCTTATTGATTATGCAGAAATTACTATTTGTTTCACTTGGCCGTGATATGTGAAGTTCACTCTCCCAAATTCTTTTCTGTTCAGCTTCCTCAATTGGTTGTGTGCTTGAGATATTTTAACATTACTGGAAACAATTAGTAGAAATCTTTTGAACAGACAAATAAAAGCTTGCCACTTATCAATCATATGATACAAACTTGTATCACACAAGAATTGGCTCATGACACCAAAAGGGCATTTTTTCGGTACAATGATATGCTTGCCCTGAGGGAATCAAGAACCCACCAGTGTCTTAATCCTGTATAGTTGATGAATCAACTTTGTCTAACAGGGCAAGAAAACCGTCTGGATAAAGTTACCTATACATCAAGCCTGTCTTGTTGAACCTCTGGTTAAGGTACCCTTGTGCTTGATCAAGAAGAAAACTTTTTGGTCATTATTTGTTGTGCATTTTTGTAAATTTACGATTGGTTCTATGGCTCTTCTGTACAGGAGGGATTTCGGTATCACCATGCAGAACCAGAGTATTTAATGCTTGTATACTGGCTACCTGAAACTGCAAGTAATATTCCGGCAAACGCCACACATCGTGTATGTGTTGGTGGATTTGTCATGAATGAAAAACGAGAGGTATTTCCCCTGCTATATGTCAATATATAGTGAAGTTGCCCAATGAATCTCACAAGTTAGTTGGAAAAGCTTCCTCACAATTCTAGGGCTGTGATTAGTATTATATCGCATGTGTCCTTCCGTGCGAAAAAGTGAGTGGGAAGAATTCTAAAAATGTAGTTCTATTTTGCATTTTGTGATTAATGTTGTATTCTCTATTTTTTTACTAGATCTTAGTGGTTCAAGAAAAAAGTGGACCTTTTTGGATACCTGGAGTCTGGAAATTCCCCACTGGATCTGTTGACCAGGTAAACATGTAGTTGATCGGCTCATTGCAGAGTAAGAAGTAATGATGGGTGTGTAAAATTTACTTAGTTTAACTTATCCAGGGAGAAGATATATGTGCAGCGGTAATAAGAGAGGTCAAAGAAGAAACAGGAGTAAGTATTCTGATTATGGTACCCATAAACTGTAGAAGAAGTAAACTCTACACACACACACACACACATATATGCCTAAGTTTTTGTGCCTTTCTCAATTTGCAGATTGACACAAAATTTTTGGAAGTGTTAGCCTTAAGGTAGATACGAATTGTTCTGGTTTTTTTTTTTTTTTTTGGGATTGGAATCTGCAAGTTTAGGAGCTGCTAAACATCTCTTTCTTCTTTCATCAGACAAACTCCAAAGTCATACTTAATTACGAAGTCAGAGTTATTCATCTTGTGCATGCTGCGCCCCCTTTCTTTTGACATCCAAGTGCAAGAACAAGAGATAGGAGCTGCCCAGGTGCATAATTTTCTGGCAACCTAGATTCTTCATGTCAAAAGTAAATGCTTATCGTACTTTTTAACAGGGATAGAGAAGGAAAGGAAACAAGCGATGAGTTTAAAAATGAATTGTTTATCCCATCACACTAAATCACATTCTAGTTGGAGTTATGTTCTGCTTAATATAATGTAAGTATTTGGGGTGGGGCGGGGGGAACAGAATGATTATTACAGCCAAAGATTGAAAGATCGTTAAGTAGACTAGCGGATCACTGGAACTATGTAGTAGGATCTAGGAATAATGAATAATGAAACTTTCTCAGCCTCAAGTTTGCCTCAGTTATCAACATGGTCCTTGAAGTTTAATCTTTCATCAATCAAATCCCTATAATTTCATAACCATACACAACAAGTCCTTATGGTTTGAAAATATATAGTTCCTCACACACACGTGGCATAACCTCAAAGGCGGCAACTTCTTGATGGATTGCAGAAAAAATTGCTGGTACGATGGGATCAAATAAGAATATGAAATTGTGTATGAAACTTTAGGGATTTGATTAACAAGATTAAACTTGAAGGACCAAATCGATAGTACATCGCATTTATGCTGTCTTGTCTTGCTGTGTAGTGGATGCCTTTTGAGGAATATGCAGCTCAGCGATTCAATGAGGAGCACAAGTTTGTGAAGCAGATGGATGAAGTGTGCAGGGCAAAGATGCGCGGCCATTATTCTGGGTTTAATGTAGTTCCTTCATCTTCACCCTTCCCTGACAGAAAGAGTTTCATGTACTTGACCTCAAATGTAAAGAAGAAGAAGAAGAAGAAGAAGAAGAAAATGATTCACCCGAAATGTTAACCATCATAAAAAGACTTAATGAGAGAAAAGGAGGGGACGGATTTTAGTGGAGTGAAGGGAAAGAGAGGAGAGGAGAGTGAAAGAATTTTAATATTACTTTATTTAGATTTATTAAAAGAGAGGAGAGGGGAGGAATTTTAATATTATCTTATTTGGTTCATGAGGGAAGGGGACGGAAAAATATTTTAACATGGACAATTTTGCTTTTATTTTATTTAAGATTATTTTTCAAATTTTATAGAATGTTTGATAAAATAGAATTGTAAATAACATTTAATATATTGAACAATACTTATACCAAAATTCTAATATACTCTAGAGCATGAATTATTATTGAAAAGAAGGCTGAAGTAATGTTCAACTACAACTTGTGCTGTATCCCATCTTTAAATGAAATATTTGGTCAAACAAATAAGCTCATTAGATATGGGACCTCGTTTTCATCTATTTTTATCTTTATGGCTACAAAGCTCTGAGGATTTACATATAAAATTATATATGTCAAAATTTAAATCCTCAAAATTTTGTTTATTGAATTGTCTATTTTATCTTTTCAAATTTTACATTTACATGCAAAAGAGAAAGCAATGTCTGGGGACAAAACGAAAAGGATTTAGCGTAGTATATGGATATTAAAAATAAATATGGGCGTAATAGTCATAACATGACAAAATATTACCTTTTCCTTCCAAATCATTCTTATTTTGGAGGGGAGGTTGAGGAGGGGAGGGGAGGGGAGGGAAAATTTTTTCCCTTCCTTTCTAAAATTTGTCTGTTGCTAAACAAGAAAAAATGATTAAAATTCTTCCCCCTCCCTCTTCTCCTCTCCAAATCCCTCATACTAAGTGCACCTTAAACTGATCATTTTAAAATGTCTATCATGATTATAAGAGCTTTACTAAACAAATTGTATGAAAACCATAATAATATTTCACAATAACTGAGTCTTGAATTCAGGGATCCTTAAGAGGTGTTACTCCCTTTAGACATTCACCAAGTTATGTATATAATTAAGAGAGAGATGAATATGTAATTTTGATCATATTACTCCTCCGGTCCTAATTATAAGACCCAATTGACTTATTTGAGGAGATTAAGGAAGTAAGTTAAGTTGGTTATTTATAATAAATAAGTGTTGTTATTCCTAAAATATCCTTGCTAATTAAGTATATGGGTTAAAACTATCATTATTAGAAGGATTATCTTGGAAAAAAATGCATAAATATAAAAGAGAAAATGGATTGGGTCTTATAATTAGGACCAAATAAAAAGTCAAATTGGGTCTTATAATAAGGACCGGAGGAGTAGTATTTTTCAATTACTCTCTCTAGTCGTGTACATATGCTAATGTAAATTAAAAGGTTAGTTAAAATTAGTTAAAAACAATAAATACATGAGAAACATATTTATTTTAGATATACCCTTATTTATGAAAAAGAATGAGTGGGAGAGGAAATGAGTGGGGTAAAAAGATGAAAGAGAATATGTGTATGAGAAAAAATCTACCAAAAGAAACAATATAATTATTGGCCTACGGGGATAAAAATGAATAAAATTTTCAGATATATGTATATAAAGTATAACTTATAAAAAAGATCAATCATATTTCAAAAATTGTAGCTTATATATAAAACATAGTAAGTAGATATTTAATATAAGAGCTTGTTTAACTTTCGATTTAGTCTTAAATATAAGACTCCAATATATTTTGTATTTCATATTTATCTATTTTTTCAAAATAGTTCTTATACTAGTTGCACATATTAAATACTTTATCAAATGATACTTCTAACCAATACCCGTGATTATCAAGGATATTCTAAGAATATAACACCTATTTATTATAAATAACTCACTTAACTTATTTTTTATCTTTTTAAATTAACTAACTAGATTTTATACGAAGGACTGAAGGTGATATTTGATTTTTTTTTTTTTTTTGGACCAGCGAGGTAATGTTTGATTCAAACTTGGGGGGAACTATTGTTATGATATCTACAAGTTTGCTTTGTTGACAATAACCCATGACTCGGCTATTTCACATATGTGACGAGGAAGAGACTAGAGAGGGGTGCCTGTAAGGGTCGGGTCCGACTGGTCGCAAACGGGAACGCAAGGTGCCTTTCCTACCATGTCATGGACTCGATACCTGCGAGTGCACCTGGGATTAGTCTGGCCGTTTGTGGCTGGGATACCCTGAGGCAGCGATACCATCCTACTCAAAAAAGAGACTAGAGAGGAGTGGTGGGCCCCGTTGCGATTCATGTGTGGAGGAAATTCTGTCTCTTTCCCACCACACTCTAATGTATTTACGTAGATTCTTAAACTTATCTTCCGCAAAGTCATCAATTGATTTGATTATTCAATATTGGATTATATAAACTTTCAACTTGTTCTTTTGGCTCGTACTCATAATTTCAACACTCTCTCCTTTATCTCTTCATAGTCACCATCTCTGCTTTGACCCAGCTGGATACTTTTGACTGTCCATTCAACCTATTATTTTACTATTCAAAGATATAATGATGACTCAACTTTTTTCAAATATAAATTATATGACTGTCGGTGGCATGCTGAGCAAGAGGGATCAACTAAGGTCCAATATAATTAAACCTACGGAGAACAAATATTTTATCTTTATATGAAATATTTATCATCTCTTCGTAATCATTTCTACCTACTGTTATTAATGTAAAAACTATATAACTAATTTAAATGTTTAAAAAAATTAGTTAAATTGATTATTTGTCATAAAAATTTGTTGGCTTCTTTAAAATACTTTATTTAATCATGTATATTTGAATTATCTCTCGATAAGAACCTTTTACAATTAATAGGATGATCATTTTGAAGGAAAAAATATAAAATGACAAGACAAAGCAGATTGAAGATTTAGGATCAATTCCAACCCTCAGGCCTCAATCAGCTCTTATATTAAAATCAAATGTAATAATTAATAGGAAAAAAACTTAGGTCAAGTTTTTACGTATATTATGTCAAGTTTTCCAATCAAACAGGATCATGTATCTATTTTTTATTTCACATGTACTTATAATTAAATGCTAATATTTAAAAATTCATGTTTAATTGGAGAACTTGACATCATGGATATAAGAAAATTGGTGTAAATATTATCCTAATTAATACTCCTATAATCATTAATGTAAGACCCAATTAACTGTATTTTTTTCTTAAACCATATGAAATAAGTCTTACAAATATATGACTAATATCAACTCTATATTAAGCACAATCGGAGTAACATCTATATTTTAGAGCCATATATATGATTTCGCATTTGAAACTTTTCTTTTAAAAATTTCATACCACATTCTCATTTCTCAATTCCCCCTGGATAATGAACATAATGACCTCAACGGACCAAACTTTGCTACTCGGCATTACGGGTTTGAAAATAAATGGGCTCATATTTATAGGAGGCCTGGGAACCCATGTTTGCCCAAAATCACAGTATGGGATTATCCGATTATGCCCCCATAAACAGGATTATGCCCCCAATCCAAAAATACTTAAAATACAGAATTATGTTCATATTAATATTAAGCAAATATTTGGGCTCTAGCCCTCCTTATTAAAAAAAATATTTAAATAGAATGATTTGATTTTTGTCCTTCTGAATTTCATATGATAAACCCGTTTAGTTTATAAATCCCCAATCGCATCACGGCTCATCCGGCAAGAAGGTATATTATCTTACCTGCCCATTATGACTCGTCCCTCGTTTTTTTTTCCCCGTTTAAACTATAACGAAGATCGCATGGTTTAGAAAAATTTCATGGAGAGATCAAATTAAACGTAGTAGTTAAATTACAAGGATTAAATATTTAATTTTTATGAGAAAATATGGTAAAATGAATAGAAATCATCAACATGTAAAAGAGATTATATGTATTATTCTATATATGCTTTTGACAACTTTAATAAAATCAGATGTTTTATAGGTGATGGTGCTAAATATATGCATCTTACAATTAAGTTAAAAGTTGCATAAGAACTCTGATCATTCCCATTTGCTAAATCACTGCCCATAATTTTTGCATTCTCAACGATGAAAGCTATTCATAAACATTAATTATTTCCACATATATATAAAACATAAAAATCTTTAAAGAGAAAATAGTACGCAGGAAAATGAAGAGGAAATAAACGTACGCATATTATTTATATTGTTTACCAACAAAAGTTCTCAGCCTTCAAACCTTCGAAGCTGACTCCATTTTCATTTCAACATCAGAGTCCGTTTCCCAAGTGACGAATCTGTTCAATTCAGCGAACCACAATAATGACTAGCAAGAAAACAATGCGTCACTGATTAGTTAGGAAGCTAAAATGAAAACTTATGTAAAATTAAAAAGATTAAATATACAATTTTGCAAAATTTATATGTTAAATACACGAGTAGTATGATTTTTAAGACAATGTCCATAATTCTCAGACAATATAGTTATTGGCATTATTTTTAATTTTAATTCTGACTGTGGGTTTCACATGACATGATAAGATAGTTTATAGTAGAAAGCCATTTACAGGCTGAGGGGAAGGAAGAATAGGCTGCTTTATATGATGCCTAATATAAAGAGCCAAAGTCCTGAATCAATTTGATATAACATAAAGAGAAGTCTTCAAATTAATTGATGATACCCACCCACTAAATACTCCTCCGGTCCTTGGCTTTGTTTGGTTCAACAGAAGGGAGAAAAGGGTAGGAGAGGTTAATTAAAGGAAAGGGAGAGGAGGGGAAGGGAAGTCAGGGTTTTGTTTGGTTGGAAGAGAAGAAAAAATTTTTGTTTGGTTCATAAAAAGAGGAGAGGGAAGATAATTATAATTAACAAATATGCCCTTATCTCTATATTTAGACTGATTTATTTTTTTATTACAATATTTATATCAAAATTATTATTTTTTAATTTATCAATTTCAAACAAAAATCAATTACCTCACTTACATGTGATAAAAAATGATAAAACTAAAAAAAATGAAAAATATGATAAAAAAAATTTAACATTCTATCTCATTAATTTTATAAATATATGTATTAATATATATGAT